CCCGGCGGCTGGGGGGGAGGGCGGCCGGAGCCCTGGGAGGAGGGCGGTGATAATCAGTATGATTATTTTATTATATTATTGTGACCCATGCAACATGTAGGATTTATTGCAGTTGTGTTCCACACTATGTACTAATAATGCACTCTGTGAATGTAGGGAGAGAGAATCCAAGCACTGAAAACCTCGTCTTGTTGTGGAATTCTCTTTAAAAATTGTTTTTATATTTTAAGCAAATATTTTGTAATCACTTGTGTGTTGTCGATGTTCTACAGCTGGAGTAAAGACAGCACAGTCTCCAGGATGCAGGAAAGGAAAAGCCAAGGCTTTGTATGACTTCCAGGGAGAGAATGAGGATGAGCTCTCCTTCAAGGTAAATATCTTAGTCATTGCTGTTAGCTCACAGACCTCGAAAGAGATAGGGCAGCACTCTATTGAGAAAGCAGATTGTATGGAGCAGACCAATTGAGCTGGACCTCATCTACCTTAGAAACACAGCTAGAAAAGGTAAACTTTTACTGCTCTGGAAATAAGGCCAAATCCTGGGACAGAGTGGGGGAGTGAAAGGGGCACAAAGATGGCATAACGCCCACCTTTGAAATCTGCTGCCCTGTGTCAGTCCAGTTCCGTGGCATAAATTAGAGTAGGTTATCAACCAGCCCCAAGGGGTTGAAACAACAGCTCTATGAAGGATAGGGAAGCCCCATCCATGCCAGAAATGCTTCTGTGGTAGCAGTAGGGAGGTTGGCATAGGAGCAATTACAATTAATCTATACCCCAGGAAGATTCGCTTTGCAGTGGGCTGATCCTCCTTTGGCTGGTTATGTTGACCCCAGGCTGCCCGGCAAGAGTTACCACATTCAGATTTGAAAGTTACGAGGTCAATAAAGTAGCAGTTTATAATAGCCTCATATCAAACATCTACTCAGCCTCTGTAGTGCTTAGAGCTAGCATATCCACCTCTGCTAACAGTGCAAATATATAACAGTGCTAGTACTAGGAAAGCCCACATCCAGGTACTCTTCATCAACATTCCAGGAAGATCACTAGAATATTAGATGAACCTGAGACTCAGCAGCCAAGTGGTTATTTACTGAAAATGAATCGATTGTTTCAGGACACTTGCAATACATGGACTGACCACAATGTGTCTGTTCCCAAAGGGAAAAGTTGAAAATCTGCATGCTACAAAAGGGCTATTTTACAGTACGTCCTAGCAGGGTACATCATGAGGGTGTATCACTTAGTTAAACTAGGATTTGCTCCTGGATCTTTGTCTGTTTACTGGGGATCTTTCCAAAACGTTAACTTTTTTATGAGTGTGATAAATATAAATAGTAGCAACTATCAGAAGTCCCAAGTGTTTGTCTGTACCTCTGTTAATGTGGATGTTTTTGTCTTTTCTATAACTTTACTGTGACTTCAGTCAGGGTACAGCTGTTCGGAAAGGAATAAAATATCTTGAATAAAGTCAGATCGTAGTTTTACTTTGACAAATTGATCCTGTTACCTTGTCACACTTCTTAGAAAAAAGATAAAATGAAGTTTTCTGACCAGATGCATTCATTTTCAGTTGTATCAAAAATTAGAGATCTGATCAAATAGGGCATCATAGAATTTATTCCACTGTGCCTAGGAAACAGAAGACAGGACGAAATATAGGAACGTAACAGTAGTAGCAGCAGCACCTACACCCTATGATGGTGGGCTCTTTAAAATACATTTAGTACAGTGTGTTTGGGTTTCCTGAGACGTTTTCACAGCACAGCATGCAGTTGTGACATAGAAAATCAAATGACATACTGCTTGCTGGGTATTCAGACAGACTATTTGAAGAGGTAAAAGATGTTAGCAAGAAGCAGTGGGTCTATAGTATATCAGAACCAATGACCTAGATACTGAGGGAACTTGAAACTTAAATTGGCAAGACCTGCATAGACATTCAAAGCAAGATCAGATGAATAGTAATCTCAAAAATACTACCTTTTACTGTGCCTAAAGCAGATCCTATGTAAGCACTTAAGTTTTATGTTCTTGAGTTGGGAGACTACAGGAGCAGAGTATTCTAGAATAAAAGCAGAACCAATGCACTGGAAGAAAGGACAAGACTATGGGAGAATATTTTAGATTAAGCATGGGGCACAGCATGATGAAAATAGGAACAAGGAATAGTAGATCAGACAGATAGTACTAATTTTAGTCCACTTCAGACAACCTGTTAAACTCCTCTGACCATTGTGCCCCACTTTTGGGAACCATAATATGAAGAAAAGGAGTGAGTGTTAGGGATGGATAACAAGAACAATGGGGGTCAGACACTTAGCTTGTAGCAAAGAGCTGAAAAGGAATTGTACTTACTAGGGGAAAAAAAAAAAAACAGTTAAGGGAGAATATACTTCCCTGTTCCATGACATCAAAGAAGTTTAAGTGGCTCATCATCATATACTCTGTTATATATACACCAAAACTCAAGGGGCTAGATCCAAAAAGAAATGTAGGGACTTAACTGTAACTTTAGGTACCTGAGTCAAAAAAATTAGATTTTCAAAATCCCTGCTCAGCTGCTATAACCTTGTTTCCAGGCACCTATGTTTCCAGTGATAAAGTTCATTAGATGCCTAAAAATCCACTGCTAGCCAGGTACACAGCTGCTTCAGTCCAGGCACCTAGCTCATGCCTAAGCCCTGGTGGGATCCGCCAATTAGGCATTGCCCCACTTATCTTGCCTAAGGGGCCCAATGTGATAGACATGCTCAGAGGCCTGCCTGATTTGGAGCATGAATTTGAACCTGCATCTCCCATTTCTCAGAACAGAACCCTAACTATGGGATATTCCAAGATAGGTGTCTCCCAAGTCTGTGAAGATGTTTTACTTCGTATAAATGTAAAGTTAGCAAAAGATGCCAATATTGTATTTTTATTTTTCTCTATATAAATCAAAGTTTTATGGAGGTGAATTTTTGTTACTGCTTCTCCCTCTAATCCCATATCAAGCTATATTTGAGCAGAAAAGATTCATCATTGCTCATTTTCTTACAGGCAGGTGATATGATAACAGAGTTGGAACCTGTAGATGAAGACTGGATGAGTGGAGATGTACAAGGCAAATCTGGAATATTTCCCAAGAACTTTGTTCGAGTTCTATAGATATCATAAGGATGGAGCCCAGTTCTGCTCACGAGGCATATGGAAGCAAATGCTTATCTAGCACAAAGGCACATTATACTTCAGCAAACAAAGAACTACCATCTTTGTTGTCACTTGAGTTATTACTTTGACTATCAAATATGATTTGCACTATATTGTCCAGAAAGAGAACCACATCATATATAACATATTAACTTCCTGAAACACCAACATTTGCCGTGACAACAAAACTTAGTCATACTTTGTGAATGTTTCACATGAGCTAGCAAACAGAATTTCCACAGGATTTTTAATAGTTTCCAGCTAGGGAAATTAAATGTAGTACAATATCTTACAAATTAAGTGAACTGCATTCTAGTAGTTGACCTGATCTGGTATTTCATTTATCCTGCATACAATTTGCATAAATTAAGATTGTTTAATAGGCTTTTTAGAAATGCATTTATTTTGCAGATTTAAGTATTATATGTTAAATATGTATACCACATTTTTGATTTTCAGATTTCACTACTGCTTGAGTTAATATCCTCATTAGCAATAAAAAGCAGTTGTTTTAGGATTGAGAGGATAAAGGTACCATTCATTATCTTGCGGAAAAATGTCAAGCCCTAATGTATGATCGACACCTTGTAGAGTTTGTCATTTCATATATGGGATACCAAAGTCTAACAAGCAGGAGGATCAAAAGGCTAAGAAAACTTCACTCACTTAATAGTTTCTCCATCTTTGAATGTAGGGCTGAGTGAACTTGTGAAGTTCAAGGTTTTTGTACTTGTAGAGTTCATAAAACTAGAATGAACTCATCAATCTTTTTTACTGAAGAGTGATTACGCCTGTCTGCCCCCCAACACATTTTTCTAGTTAAAGGGAAACCTGCTCCCTGTGCTAAGGAATAGATGAGAAGTCACCAACATTTAAAAACAAAAAAACCCTCACCTTTAGGTTGGTTCAAGCTAGTGCCCCAGGGAGAGTGTTTTCCTATTAGAAATTCTCTCTTTCCCTCCCTGATCCAGTCTCTGGGTTTGTCTGTCAGTCTACTTGCTCTCTGCTTTAAAAAAAAAAAAAAAAAAAAAATTTCATTCTCAATCTTCGTTTCTCTTACACAGAAACAAACCCAATTCCATTCCCATTTCAGTTTAACATTCAAACCTGACAGTGTTTGAAATTAGCAAGAGACGTTTACCTATCCGTTCTATAAACCACCAGCACGTTTCACCCCGGCTGCCATTCTTGTGTTTTGTTTTTTGTTTGTTTGTTTTTCAGTGAAATAGTTAATTTTAATAGGAATATTTCACAGCCTTATGTCTATGAGTGAGAACAACTAATTGAGGTATCCACTAAAAGTTATTTTCTATAAATCACCTAAATAACATATAAGATGTAGCATTATAAATTATCTGTCAAGGCAGAAAGCAGCAGCCACCAAGAGAAATTAACCTAACAGGCACAAAGATTTATATTTTTTAACAAAAACAATGCAAAATTATACAAGTTAAATTACATAGACTAAATAAGTCTGATATTAGACATATTTCCAGATAAGAATAGTGCATTCTAAAAACCAACACTTTCCAGAATGTTTGGCAATAGCTCCATATTAAACAAGTTAATTGTTAACCCACCTCCCATTCTGGGCCGATGTGTACTGTAAAAAAACAAAATCAAAACATTTAATCTTCATTATGCTGCAGTTTATTCTGTACATGTTCAATGGCATCCTATTCTCACATGAGCAACTGGCCTCTTTTGTAATCTCTGAAGAACAAGGCAACTGAACAAACTGTGTGTATATTATATCTGAGGATTAATATGTGCAGGTGGCAAACAAAGAAAGCCAGGCTTTTCAGAATCTCTTTCCATCAGAAAAGCACAGCATAGGGTAAAAGTCAGAGCATCAAGGTGTTGATTCAGCATTGATCATTTAAAGTTTGGAGACTATGGAGATCTTTTTATCAAGTTCCATCTTTAATATCTTGATTTATTTTTGAAGTCTAACACAGGCCTCTCTACTGCTGTCTCATCTTACGATGCTGCTTTCCCCTGGGCTTATAGAAAGGATGTTCAGATATATAAAAACCCTAGTAAAATACAATAGACGTTAGCACTCAAAACTTGCCTTTTTAATTTTTAGTTCATGGACGAAAAGGACGTTCTTTTTATTTTATGTGCCCAAAAAGTAAATTCTAATTCCACTTAAGAATGATAAACCTGCATGTACTCTCTTTTGGAAATGTCTTCTCCCCTTTCACTTGAAGAAAAAAAACTAGTGTTGCTTTACCGTATGGGTACCATGTCAAAGGTTTAAGCAAAATGGACTCCTTTCATCATGGCTCTGTGCCAATGCGATTGGTAAACCGCCTGTAAATATTTTGAACAGTAGAACTAGTAAAAATTTAAGAACTTTATAAAAAAAAGACACTTACTCAGCTTACTTCCTCCAAATGAGATACCTAAATCATTGAGGAGGCAGATAAGGTATTAGTGTGCAATGTTTACTTACTTTTGACTTTGGGCTTGTCTACATGGGGGGGGGGAGTAATGGGCTCCATAGTGCGCTTCAGAAATCACATCCCTAATGTGCTGTGCATTAATTGGTCTGTGTAGACATTACTGGTGCTCTTTAATGCAGTGCTGTTTCAAACGGTGCTACATTAAACCATACTAGTGAACCTTTACCGTGCACCAGCAGGGTATACATGGAGACATTGATTTCTAAAGCACATTAACATGGGCATATCACACACACCCACAGCTCACATTACCTTGCTGTGTAGACAACCCTTTAATTATGTCAGTTCTCTAAAGCTTTGATACAAATATTTTTGAACCAATAGTGCTGAATTTAGAAATTTTTCCAAAAGAAAAAGGGTGTGTGAAGATTTGGCTATATTGGCCTATTAATAATTTTTACCACTTTAATTTAATGCGTGACATCCATTACATTTCAAACTTTTTAAATAAACATCTGTTTAATTGAATAATCCTTGTATTTTATTTTGTAACTCCAAATACTAAATCAGGAAATATAGCAAACATAATACCACTTATGTATTATACTTAATGTTTAAGTCATAAAAGGATAAAATGGCTGGAAGCTGCAAATTCAGAACAATAGTGCCATCTAAGGGCTTTTTACATTATTGTAGCTTTGCCAGTTCAGAAAATCATCGCTTTAAATTTCAGTCCCTTGATCAAATTAATCTGTTTTGCAAAAAATATCTGCTTTACTGTTAAACCTTTGTGGTCACATATATTGTCTATACAGAAAATAATCTAAAATCCCTATTGATTACAAGGATGTAATTCAGCAGAAAGGGAAAATTCCTGTGAAAATCCTAAATTACATTTACAATTAATATGAAAGATTATGCTATCTTGAAATTCAGTTAGGGACTATGATTCATTAATATGACAGAGTGGTTTTCCTAAACTTAAGGCTGTTAGTGTTTTGTTAAATCCACAGTGAAAGTAGCATCTTTGTAACCGAACACATTTTTCCATGATTTTTATATATAGTACAAAATAAAAACTTTTACATTCTGCAAGTCCAAATTTGTCTCCAGCATTATGGTAACAGTATAAATTAAATTTGTATTTAACCAATAAATTTTTATATGTATGTCTGAGTCACATTTGAGTCTGTATTTACTTTTAACTCTCACTAATTCTGATTTAATGAAAGGATTGATATCTTTAAATACACAGATCTTATACCAATATAAATATTTCCATTAGGGATTTAAAAAAATAAATAAAAATAGTACACTGTATAAATGTGCCCTTACACCAGTAGTCACCATTTTGGAAATAACTGCACCTTTGTCCCTCCATAGTCTGTTCAATAGACCAGGCCTCTAGCAATCACCTCTCTATTAGAAGTGTCACATGCCTAAAGCTACAATTTTGTCACAGAGGTCACAGAATCCATTACTTCTAAAGACCTCTATGACTTCAGACCTGGCGGCTGGGAGCTACAGGGTCGCACCACCTCCCGCAGCAGCAGGGAACTGTGAGGTATCCCCACCACGGCAGGGCAGGAGGACCCTCCCCCCCTGCAGCTTCTGCCGCTGGGGAGGGCACAGGGGAACCCTGGAGCTCTGAGACACCCCGCCCCTTTCCATTTTATCACAGATATTTTTAGTAAAAGTCAGGGACAGGTCACAGGCTTCTGTGAATTTTTCTTTATTGCCTATGACTTTTACTAAAAAATATCCATGACAAAACCTTAGCCTTACACGATTCTCTCCATCCAACCTAGGGATTTAAGCTGCAGTTCAAGAGCCTGCCAGCCTTTACAAAACCAAATACATGTATAAGTTCTCTAATGCCTTAGTCCGAAAAACAAAATAAGAAATTGTCTAAATGAATGCTAAGCTTACCAAATGTCACCCAAGTTCCACAGGGGAACGCTGATAGGTTCCAAAGTCCTTCAAACTTTTCAGCTGAGTTTGCCCTCTTGGTTAACAGTTTGTGTCAGTTTTTAGATCAAGTACTTCTCAGTCAATTTCAGCTGAGACTTTATATCAAAAGCCTCTCTCTATTTTCTGTTACTCAGCCAGAACCAGTATATGCAGTTCACCCAGCATTCAGTAGTTCTCCAGACTTGCTTACCTGTCCCAGGGTCTGTAGTAATTACCCCCATCACACACTGATTTTAGTTCCTGGAGGGAGTTAGCAACCCATGGAGCTAGCATACAATCCCTGGCTCAGAGATACAGGTAACTTTTATAAAGTTGAAACAATACTCTCAAAGATATTGCATGTGTCTATAGCACCTGTCACACCTGGATGGCTTATCTCCCTTCCCGTAGAGGAATAAAGCTATAGTGCTAAAGCACTCTTATAGTGGTTTAACTGCATCTATATTATTGGGGTTGTACAACATTATCTGTACTGGTATAATTAAAACAGTACAACTTGAGTCTCAGCAATCTCAGTTGTAGTTGGATTGTTGTAAATAGGTAAGAATAATCACTCTTACGTGCTTGAATACAACAGGTAAAAAGGCTAATAGTAGGAGAACTAGATGGTCCAGGGGATTGGTAACAGGATACAGAGTGTCTTTCACTAGAAACAACTGGAAATTACTATCACCTGAGTAGCCTATATGGAATGAATGGAGAAGTTTCACTCTAATTCCCAGTAAACAGGCATCTCTAAAGCCATTACAATTAGCACCCTTGTTAGTAGCACACATAGCAAGGATGGAAATGGTCAGGGCAACTGAACTAAACTTGAACCCCCACTTTCTGTTCTGTTTAGACAACTTTGGTCCCAGGACTGCCAATCCAGCACCCTATGAACACTAAATTCATATTAAGATTTTTATTTTGGAAAGAAAGGTAATCATTTCTATTTCATATAATTGACAAGACAACATCAGGTTCACAGCTCTTATTAGATTACCTTGCAACCACTTCTTTGTAGTGGTATCTTTTAGACATTTTACCAGAATAGCCTGACTTTTGGCACACTTCAGATTTACTTTGAAGAGACCAGCCAGCACTCAAAATGTTTTGGTATTCCAGTAACTACATCCGGTATAAAGCCTGCAGAAATTCTGTAACAGTACCATCAGAATTCTCTGAACTTCCACCATGCAGCTGTTGCGAATTGAGAACAATTCTTAAGATCTAATTTGGCAAATACCCTTGCTGCTGTCAAATAGTCAAGTACCCTGAACTCTTGCATTTCCAACTCAATTTAATCCTGTTTCAGACAGACACGTCTGAAGTCTATCAGCTCTGGTATCTGTAAGGTTACCCACCTACTCAAAAAATTTTGGTTGGCTCTGCTTTGTGCCACACAAGGAAATAAGCTTATTTTAACATTGCTATCATAACTAAACAATATAGTTGGATGTCTCTAAATGGCAATCTGGTTTCCCTAGCTTAAATATAATTGTTTCCCAAGTATTTAGTAAGAATGTTTCTACCAAGGATTGCAAATCAATCTATAGAGCTCACTCAACTCAATTATGCCACTTTGTAAGCTTTGTTTTCTCAGTCACAAAAATCATAGAAATGTAGGACTGGAAGGGACCTTGATAAGTTATCTAGTCCATCCCCTGCACTGGGGCAGGACTAAGTATTATCTAAATCATCCCTGGTTTGTCTAACCTGTTCTAAAAAAATCTTTGGTGATGGAAATTCCACAACTTCCTTAGATAGTTTTTTCCAGTGCTTAACTACCCTACCCTTATGTTAGGAGGAAGTTTTTCCTAATGTCTAACCTAAGTCT